CCGCTTGGGGGTTCCAATCAATAAGAGCCTCAAATGATCTGCGGGTCTCGACGACAAACGATACATTTCAATTAAGAGCCGGACAAAGAGCATTTCGACAGCATCCAATAAAGAGAAAAGCGGCGGGAAATCAGAGAAGGTGTATATGTCTGACGCAAATTGGAGAACAAAAACATTTCCAATGTTTATGCGCAAAGGGAAAACGCGAATAGTGATTGGAAGATAAATGGGATACAGAGAGCGAAGGAGGTCAAGAAAAACAAAGAAAATTCCTATAAATTGTAATAGTTTTAAATGGGGCTATTATTGGACTATTATAAGACCCCAAAGATGAATATAAAAAGGGTTGCAAGTCCAACATAAATTATAACGCCATAGCCTATAATGAAGTGCCACTAAAAAACTAAAAAACACAAGCCATCCCAAAAGAAGTGTGCAAAAAACAAGCAAAAAAGATAAATGTGCACATAGTATTACTGTGTGGCGAAAAACCAGTTGCAAACCGGTTCAAAATCCACCCATAACCGGTTCACAGTCGGTTTCGGTTAAATGCTATCCTCGAAAGTTAATGATTTAAATGAACGAGTCACAGATTAGGTTTCAATTGGCTTTCAACTGGTTCTCACCTGACCACGGACCACGAGCAAAATCAGTTGACAACATTATAACTATGCCTGGCCACAAGCGAATCATTAGAGCAGGTCGTGTCCCAGACGTGAGAAGTACGCGATCTGCGGCTTGCGCATAAACCCCGGCGCTGGTTATGACATGTGGCACAGAGCAGAATTGAGTTCACTTTCTGCGGTTTCGGGACATCACGGGACATGAGACATGGTCTGGCACTGGGGCAGGGCCATTGACACTTTCAGGGGTGGCGGTGGGGGGGGTCCACTTTGGTGTCCATCGATACAGAACAAATCAATTAAGCGAACTCCTCACGAGCACCACAGGCCCTCAGAGGCGGGCGAGTGATTTATTTTGGGACACTTTTTGGGCCTCGCGTGTTTGGTCGAGGGTTAGGCAAACACTTAAGGGATGGACAAGTGTCAGGGGTAGCCCCGCCGACAATCAATCGATCCATCAATCCGTTCCATACAGATACATCTCTATACAATACTTAGTACAGATAATTAGCACAAAACTTAGCTGCGACAGAAACAGATGAAACATTTCATGTGCCGTTCAATTAACAGCCAGCCAAAATGAGAGGCAAAAAGAGAAATGAGAGGAGCAAAATGTTTTAGCACAAATAAATAAATAAACAAATAATTTAAATTAAATTTTTGGGGCATTCAAAATACAAATTTCAATGAATTGAGACGCAAGCGGAGGCGGCGACAGCAGCGCAGAGCAGCAGCGGGAGGAGACATAGAGGACATAGAGGATGGGATAGAGGAAATAGAGGATTACTATGTGTACAATCGGCCCAATAAGCACGATCCTTAGCCACAGTGAAAGCTTTTTAGGGTGGAAGTCTTTCGCCTCTTCGAATATGATCTCTTGAAGTCAAGCTTTATCGGACGTTTCAGCAACAATTGTCAATTGTCAGTCAGTCAAAGTGAGAATTTTCCCAACACACTTCTTTGGATATTATTTTCGATAATTATCCATAGTCGATAGTAATACCGAAGAATTCCCTTCAGCCGATCTCCCAGCTTCCCATGAGTGTACCACTGTGTACTTGTACCACATTGCTTGGGCGATTCTGTTGACGATGGCAAGGGTGTTGCTTAGTCGGTGGGATGGCCTTGCCCCCAACGATCTTTCTGACGCGACGCCCGCTACAAAATTAACTGAAAATATTTACCAAAAACAACAAATAGTGGCAGCAGTGGGGGAGGATGAAGCAAAGGCAGCAGATCAGAAAATCATTTTTATTTGGCTGCCCGCCAATTGAGATGCATAAAACATGCCCCCCCAGCCCCACCGCTGGCCGCAGGACCGCCATCCTGCTGCCACACGGGGGAGCTTTGAATATTTCAGATTTTCATTTTGCCGGGCCCCAAAAAAAGAGAGTACGAGGCGGAGAGAGCGGGAGATTGGGGGCCTACAAGGCAGTGAGAGAGAGAGAGAGAGAGAGAGTGAGAAATTGTTGTGATGTGTAGCGCGTGATTATTACTCATTTAATGGCGCCGCTGCCGCCGTCGCCGTCGCAGTCGGGGCAAACGCCAACGCAGACAGCGACGACGACGACGACGACGACGACGACGACGACTTCTTTGCGTCACAGCGGCCCCGGAGCATGGATAGATTGGATCCGGGGGAGTCCGGGGCGGTGGCTGCCACTCAAAGGCACCAGTATCTCGCGGCACCTATACCTGTACCCGAGCCCGTGCCAGTAACCGTAACCGTAACCGTACCCGGTGCCCCCCACGGCCGTACGGTTCCACCCTCTAGCTCTAGCTTGTGCCGGTGTCCAGTGGCGCTCTACTATATCGTATGTATATACTCGGACTCTCCCCCACTTATCTACGCGTAATATCTTGTTTATGGTTTTTGTATTTGTTCTTTCAGTTTGTTTTTCCGCATTAATTTGTCTAAATAATTAACGGACAGAGATCAGGCGACAAAAACAAGATCCAGTGTTCGAAGTGTTCCCAAAGCCAGAATATCATAAGAGAAAATATAATGGAAATATCTTGTCCAAGTGCGTGGCCTTTTTCGGAGTCCTTTCTTAAAGCGTGGCTTTATTCGGAGTCATTCCTTAAAGCGTGGCTCTATTCAGAGTCCTTCCTTAATAGATTGAGAATCTGTTCTTATTAAACGAATGTTCACTGCTTTCTGCATTGCAAATTCTTTCCTTATCTTTTTCAGTGTGATCTTTCCCTTGGAACCCCTTCTTGGATTCAATATCCTCTTTAAATGGGGATCTAATAATCCAAGTTCGTTTTTAGTAAGCTCCTACATCGTTTCCAAGCACTCGCCCGCCCTCAAAAGACTACCCTAGGACACCTTCTTATACGAAATTTCCTTCATTGTGATCTCTATCTAAATCCTTTCTAAGTCAAACCCTGTATCGTTTCTTAGTTTCCTAATCCCTTCAGATTCCATTCTCACTGTGTTCCTTGGCTCAAAGATCCTTTGTACTCCACAGATCCCGGCCAAAACCTTTCCTAGTCCGCGCCTACACTCCGATTTCCATTGGCCAGTGTTTGACAATGCAGACGTCTAGATATTTCTGCGTCTTGCGTATGTGAGTCAATCAGTTAGTTGGACAAACAAGTACATATATAGGTGTACGTGCTTTGCGGGGCATACGTACCCCTTGAACGGATTGGTCCACATCAAAATGAATGTGCTGTGGCACACTTTAGCGCCGGTCTAATGCCTGGGGCGTTGAGTGGCTGACAAGACGAATCGAAATCACATTTAATAAAATTGCATTAATGTCAAGCAGAGCTCCTCTTCGGTTGGTGCCGCCGGGGTGATATATGAGGCGGTGGCAGTGGCAGTGGCAGTGGCAGTGGCTCGTGTGTCGTAATCAGATAATCATCCGACAGAATGCAATCCGAGCCCCCGGAGATTCATATTTATAGAGTGATTGCCAGTGCGGTGGCTTATCCATGAACAGAACGGATGTGCCACATGATGGATCGATTGTTTGAACGACTCACATTGAGTGATGCTACTCAATAGATCGTCTGCAAGTGGCGGCTGAAACACTTGTTTCCTCTCATCCTCATCATCTTCATCACCATCATCATCGTTTTCATCAGTGCGGGCCACACGAGTATCCAATAAATTGCCAGCTTAGCAAAGATCTGAAAGTAATGTACCGCCCATGTACCCATGCCCCGTCCTGCCCCGTCCCGTCCTGCCCTGCCCTGCCCCAGAAGTCGATCAACAAAACAAAAAAATGTTCTTGGGCCGCGTGACTTTTATGACAGAAGAAAAGAAAAAAAAAAAAAAAACAGCAAAAAATACATTGAGAAGAGCGGTACGAGTAGACGAAGATTTAGAAGGGAAAAAAGAATCGTTTATTTGTGTTTTTAAGCAGAATATCTGCTATATCAGATATGTGAACAAGTATCTCTGTATCTGCATCTGTATCTGTATCTGTGTGCACCATAGATTATTCATTTATACATCTGTGGGATGTGGATGGGTGGACGTGGGTATCCGAAATACACACGAAAATACGTACTAGAAATATTTTTAGAGTGTGCTATCTGGATACTACATATGTATATTCTAGAGGTTGTTTTTTGGGGGCAAGTCCAGGCGAAGATGCCGACGGATATAGTGAGAGAAAGAGAAGAATGCACATCATTTTGGGAAAGTCTTGTGGTGAGACTTTCTTGATTTCTTGGTGCAACATAGGCTGATGAAATATTCGCTTGCCTTGGGGTAAGAGGAGACGCGTCTGGTGACGTAGTTGAACCGACCATTGGGCCTTTCGAGTGGAGTCTCTTTCGCGTGGCAATGTGGGGGCCCATGACCGGCCGCTCTGGCGGCACATGACCCAGTCCAATCCACTCGACTGGTGGCCGCCGAGCCACCAATCTTCTTCTCTATTAATAAGCAACCAATTAAGCCAAATGAAATGCGCAACAAACAATTAATTGAGAGAGGCGCATGAATGAAACGGCCAGAGAGACATCCAAAGGGAGAGAGTGTGAGAATTGGAGACAGAGAGACAGAGAGAGGGAGAGAGTGACCTAACCCTTATGGTTAGAGTACCACCCATTGATGCTGCAGCCAGTAGTTTCAATTGAGCAGCGGACAAGAAACCTTCTTCTGACGTTGACAAGCGAAATTCAGTTTCAATTATTTTCGTTTTTCATGTGGAAAAATTATAAATAGCCTAGCAGAAAATCAACGAAAATATAAAGAGAGAGATAGCGAGAGAGAGAGAGAGAGATAAGAAACGAGAGGATCAAAAGCTTTATGGTTAAATGCCCGCCTGCCTGCCTTCACCTTGACAAATTGAATTCTATAATCAAACGAAAATATCAGAGCCATATCAAAGTTATAAGAAATTGCATAAATCAGTCAGGAGGGGAGGACTTCTATAGATACTACGACGAGTCAGCGGCAGAGCGTAGCGTCGGACAGTGTGTCACGTAGACAGCGGGCGAAAGCTAACAAGTGCCGACACGAAGCGAAGCTACGCGAAACGAAACGAAACGAAACCAACGAGAGAAAGCAGCGAGCGGTGAGCGCAAGCGAAAGAGAGTCGTCAGTCGTTGGCATCCCTAAGGCACCCGCACCCCACTCGTTTGTTCTTCGACTGCCGTTCGGGTGGCAATCGGCGCTGCTGCTCGGCTGGCAAAAGCTTTCACGGTCCGGACTATTTGACGCAGCCGCCAATTGGGACAAGAACAGTCGCCTGCGATAAGTCGCCCACATCGCCTCACGGTCTTCTTTTTTTTGTACTCGTTCCCCGCTCGATCCATCTGCCGCCTTTACCACACTTCACATCGTATTCTGCCGATTCGCTGAGAGCTGAAATTCGCGGCGAAATAATTTTAGCAACTTGTTATCCGTCCATGCCATGCGCGATAAAATATCACAACTATTTTGCTTGCAAAAAAACGCATGCAAAAATAATACAACAGATAATAGAGGTGTGTGTGCTCTCTGTGCGAGAGGGAGAGTCTTTATCAATGATATTATTACCAAAAAAGAATGTATACATATACAGTAATTGGGACACTTGGTGGGGGGAGACGTTGCGATGCGACGAATTGGCAATAATCAAGTTCGCCGCGATGTCTAGTGCTTATCTGCGACACAGGAGTGTTCGACACGATACGAAACGATTCGATGCGAATGATAGATATACCCATGTACATATCTTCTTCTTTTTGTTCTCGTGCTAACACCCAATGCTAATCCATGTGTTTGATCTGTTTCTCCTATCTATCGGTGATCCCTACACGTGCCTTACAGGACATAATGTGCCAACAAAAGCAGCGAACAACGGGACAATGTGCGCCAATGGGACTATTGGGACAGAAGGGCCCGAAGCGACAGAGACCGACTCATCAGGGACCGGGAGGATGCGGAAGCCGCTGGAGAGGAATGGCTCAACGCAGAACGACGCTGTTCACCTCGAGAGAAGGTAGGCGATCATCATCAATCGATCATTATTTACTTGCCCCACACAACCCCATGCCCAAAGTCCACTTGGTGTTAACACTTGGCTGTCAATTGAATGGTTTACTCTAGTCACTCGGCTCTAACGAGGTATCTAACAATATTGATCGTATTTATCAGCTTTCGAGTGAAAACTTGCGTTTCGCATGGAGAAATCTGAAGATCTCACCTTTGTGGAAACCACTTTTTAGTTTTTTTTAAGAAGAACTTTTTGAACCAATATTTGTTTTCTATAAATAATCCTAAGCCTGGACAAGGTTCAATTTTTGCTAGATGGAAGTCCCACTAGTTCACAACAAAACCCAGATGAAAAGAGAGACTTAAAGTTCCCTAAACTGTGATCCTAACTCAGTGAAACTCTTGCAACTCCCTTGGGTACCGTATTTTCTCTTTCTAATGTCAATATTTTCTCCTTTGCAGGCTGGGCCTCTTCAGTGGGGTGGCTTTAATTGTCGGAACTATGATAGGTAAGTCCCTCCTCAAAGACCAGTCATCGTGAAAACAAATGCATTAAACATGAGGCCAGGAATGTGCTAAGCCCCAACACGCCATTTTCCTTGGATTGTGTCAAATGATTTTTGTGCTGCCTTCTATTTTCCTTCTTTTTTTTTTAAATACATTTTCCTCTCTATCTTTCTCGGGGAGTCGGTGAAAATTATTGAAGCACATTTTTTGTTCATTCGTTATTTATTTATTTGTGCTTTGGCCGCCTCCAAGCGCATGGGCCAAAAATACGTACGCATAAATTTAGATATATGTATGTACATATAGAATATATATGTACTGTGCATGTATGCTATATATGTACATAGATCTCTATGTGTTGTCTGACGCGTTGTGCGTGCTGGTGTGGGTGTCGGCTACGCAATCCGACGCATAGGTGGGCCAGGGAGAGTCAGCGGCAGCGGCAGCGGCAGCGGCAACAGGCAACACACCAGCGAGAGGCGGCGGGATGGGCTTTACGGATTAACGAGAATTTCTGCTGTACGTACGAACGTACGGAGGGGGCGTGACGCAATGTGGCAATACAGTACATTTTTATGACACGAATACTCGTATTGGGATGGAGTTCTCTTTCTTTATTCTCCATTCTTCTTTGTTAGTGCACTTTGACCTTAGGCAATGGCGCCAATTGTGTCACGCAATTGTGTTACTAAATTGCTGCACGCACAGGGAGAGCCGGGCCAGCCCCCCGCCAGCATATCGAATACCAAATGGGGCATGCCACACCACTACCGTTGTACCTACCCCACAAAATACCAGTATTTGCCGTTATAAAGCTCTCCGTCGCCTGGATGGCGGTGGAGGTGGAGATGGAGCTTTTGACGACTCTCCAAAAGTCTCGCTCTCTCTGCCTCGCGTGGCAGAGGTCTCCCACATTGATGACGTCTGTCCCGTTCCTCCCCCTGCCCCTCCCCCTGCATTGCCAGCACAGAGAGCGGGGCCCCCGTGCAAAACAGCTGTTCGCCGGGAGCGTATGCAACGGTAACTTTTGCATTAAACTCTCTTTGTCTTTGTCTTTCTCTTTCGTACAGGGTCTGGAATATTTGTGTCTCCCTCCGGTTTACTGGTTCGTACTGGTTCCGTTGGAGTTAGCTTTGTAATCTGGCTTGCCTGTGGTGTACTCTCGCTTCTGGGTAAGTAGTCACACAACACACACCACACTCAAACACACACACACACTATAAGACACACACTATAACACACACACTATGCACTCACACGTCACACTCATCGGCCGTCTAGCCACGTGCATTTGACCCACTTACCGACTGCCAAATGGCCAAAATCACAACATCCGAGAGCCATCCCATCCATTTATCACAACTTGTTGCACGCCTGGCATGGGGCCAATGCTTATAATGTGCTGATTTTCCCGCTCTTTGGGCTTTTCGTTTTGCTTAAGAGCATGAATACATTGTGGTGGTATCCACAGAACGAAAAAAGAAAGTGTTGAAAAAGAAAGAAAAAGTGTTGGGAACATGTAGGGAATGAAATAATGCGAGTCCTGGAAGTCCCAAGAGTCGTTAAATGCCATTTAATATAATAGTTTTTTTGTATCTAGTGAAAGAGAAGTAAAATATCTACAAGTCTAGTTCTGATTATCCAATATTATTGAAAAGGTGAAACATTTATAAACATATTTTAAGTTTACGATCTTCCCATATTAGATCACGAGGATAATGGGGATACAACAAAGAATACCTTAAATTTTTGTAATAAAAAAGGGAATAACTTTTATATTTCCTTTTTTTAATTTTTGTATACAAATTAGAAACCCTACGGTCTCTGGAACAGATCCTTTCACTAACTAAGAGCTAGCATTCTTATGTTACGAGTATTAAGACTTTAAGCCAATCCAAAAGAGGCATAAATATTAGGCAAAAATGAAAGAAGATTTGGATCAAGACTTGGATACAACTTTTTCTAAAACTTTTTCGATAGAACTACAATCAGGCAGAATCAATACCAAAGAAGAAGTATAACGTTTCGGAATCAAGTAGAGCTAGTTAAAAAATACCTTATGTCTACACAAAATACACGTAAACACCGTAGGATATTAACCAAAAACTGAAGAAACCTAACCGTCTATTTCTTGATATTTGATTGATTTACAGGCGCTCTGGCATACGCTGAACTTGGAACGATGAACACCTCGTCTGGTGCGGAATGGGCATACTTTATGGATGCCTATGGACCGGCGCCGGCGTTCCTGTTCTCATGGGTATCGACATTGGTGTTGAAGCCATCTCAAATGGCTATAATATGCTTATCATTTGCACAGTACGCCGTTGAGGCCTTTGTGACAGAATGTGATCCGCCCAGGGGTGTCGTGAAGATGGTCGCACTGGTGGCTATTGGTAAGATCTCTACGACCTCCCACAGATTCTCCTGACTGACTGACATTTCCCATCCAAACCCATCTCTATGAACGCCCACACACCCACAGTGATGATACTGTTCGTGAACTGCTACAGCGTTAACCTGGGCATGGCCGTGCAGAATGTGTTCACCGCCGCCAAGCTGGTGGCCGTCGTGATCGTGATCTGTGGCGGGGCCTGGAAGCTGATGCAGGGCAACACGCAGCACCTGTCGAATGCATTTAATGGACCGATGCCTAACGTCGGAGCGATTGCCACGGCATTCTATACGGGCTTGTGGGCCTACGACGGCTGGAACAACCTCAACTACGTCACCGAGGAGATCCAGAATCCCAGCAAGAATCTGCCGCGCTCAATCATCATCGGCATACCGCTGGTGACGCTCTGCTATGCGCTGATCAACATCTCCTATCTGGCGGCCATGTCGCCCCAGGAGATGATCGAGTCGGAGGCAGTGGCCGTCACCTTTGGCAATCGCATACTGGGCGCCATGGCCTGGCTGATGCCCCTGAGCGTCACCATCAGTACGTTTGGCAGTGCTAATGGCACTCTGTTTGCCGCTGGACGGTAAGAGTTGAGGATCCTTTTGGATTCTGAACAGAACCCTCTAACGTCTTTCTGTTTGCTTTCAGTCTCTGCTTTGCCGCCAGTCGAGAGGGTCATTTGCTGGACATTCTCTCGTATGTCCATGTGCGACGCCTCACCCCAGCCCCGGGCCTGATATTCCACGTGAGTATCCAACGGAGGAACCATTTATCCATCTATCCACTCCTCTGTCTATTTTGATGTGCGGATCCCCTTCCTTTGCATTCCATTCTACTCCATCCACCCTATCTAACCCTTTGTAGAAACCCCAAAAAGCATTTCCAAGTCTAGATGTTACCCGTAGAACCGTAGAAGACATAGAAAAGTTTTATATAAACTATAATCTACCCATAGATTCAATAAATTGAATGCAAATCTAAAAGTTTGAGGAGAAGCTTCCATATCCATATTTTCCTTGAAGCGATTTAAAGCGATTTCAAACCGATATTTCTCACAATTGGAATTTCTTCTTCCAAGCTTCCTCTTCTACGAAATTTTTATACAAAATCTTCTACTTCTTAATTTTATAAATCAATTTCTTCTGTGATCCACACACTTTCACCTACTTTACGTATATCTATCAATCGATGAAGAAATCCATCCATAGATTTTTGGAACCTCTGAACGGCTCTATATCCACGATCCTCATATGTTCCGTGTGTTCGTATGTGTTCGTGCGTGTGCGTGTGTGTGTGGGTGCTGATTGTGTGGCAATATCCTCGTTCTAAACTCCTCTTTCTCTCTGTATCTCTTTCTCTGTATTCGTATCCCCGTCCAGTCGCTGATTGCCTCGGCAATGGTGCTGCATGGCACGATTGATTCGCTGATTGATTTCTTCAGCTTCACCGCCTGGATATTCTACGGCGGCGCAATGCTGGCCCTGATCGTGATGCGCTACACCAAACCCAACTATCCACGGCCATACAAAGTGCCGATCATCATTCCCGTTGTGGTCTTGGTCATATCCATCTACCTTGTGGCGGCCCCCATCTTTGAGACGCCTCGCATTGAGTATCTGTACGCCCTGCTCTTCATATTTGCTGGCCTCATCTTCTATGTGCCGTTCGTCAAGCTGGGCATGACACCGCGCTTCATGAGTGAGTACTAGACCCCCAAATATTATAGAAATCGTGTAAACCCATGAGTCTCCTTTTACAGACAAGGTGACGCTGTTCTTCCAGCTGCTGTTGGAGGTGGTGCCCACCTCATCGATGGCCATGTTCGAGTGAACAAATGCTCAAAAAGGGTAAAACGTGTCAGAGAGACAAGCACGCAAACATTCAAACATTATTAACTATACAAGCAAGAATACGAAGAATATAAGAAAATAAGAATACTATTTGAAGTACAGATGCGGTTGAGAGACACTCGCGAAGCAGGGGAAAGCAAATAGCAACCTATATTGATATATATACTATATATATTGACGTTGTCGTTGACAAACAAAAACAAAAAACAAAAACTATTTGGAATAGTCTTTTTATGCTATGAGCTGGTTACATTCAAAGGTTATATATGCATACACTATACAGAACTAAGTATAAAATATACACCCTCCCCATACATATATCTATATATCAAAAGGTAGCGCGCCTAGGCAAAGTTGCATAGTCGATAAAACACAAATAAATATACATATATATGTGTATATGTATGAACTACTTAACATATACATATATTGTAGATTTAAGATTGAGTGGAAATTTAAACAATCCGGAAATGTCCTTGCAATGCGGCCCAGAGATGATGCCTTCCGGGTTAGGTGCACGGTTGAAGTACAGTCCCCCGAATGAAAGACAAGAGACGCCACCAAAACGAGTACAGTACCCACCTAAAAACTATCCACAACATCTGGCAACACTCTCGCCGCAGACGCCGCAGACGCCGCCGCCGCAAAGCATGCCACTACTGTATTGTTTCGCTGTTTTTTTTTCGAGTTATATACAAGTTGAACGATCTAGAGATCTGTTTGGAATAGCAATATATATGTGTATATGTATGTGGGGAACTTAAGGATAAACAAATAGGAAGAAAACCAGAAAATGCAAAAAAAAATATAAATAAAAAAAACCAAAATAACGAAAGGAACGTTTCATACTGGAAGAAGGAGACGAGACGCGTGTGCGAATTGTGAATTGTAGGACTGCAAAATAGGCATTAAAGATTTCTAACTGATAAAAAACAAAACGTAGGGATCGCTAGGGAAGCAATGAGAAAAATACAAAAAACAAAAAAATAGCAAAAAACTTACATTATTAATATTGATGGATATTTGTTTACGAATCTATCCAGTATATTTTTATTTTTTTTATTCATCGTCTGTAGTTTTGAGAAATTGTTGTCTTTAGACCTAAAAACTAAATGTTTAGATGATTAAATCTCCTTCTTTTTATATACCTTTCAGTGATTTTTTTATAGTTTTTTTTTGCGCCTACGCGCACGAGTTAGAAAAAGACAGACAGACAGATGCCACGGGTGTGATGTCTCGCTCGCACCCACAAAATGAATTTAAAATGTTTGATTTTTTTTCTCGGTTTCTGTTTTCCATTTCTTGGCGATGCTTCTCTATCAATTGTCTGAACCGATATACAATACAAACATATATATACCAACTATATATCTATATCTTTATATAAGGACACTACAGCTAAACTCACAGACACACACACACAAATACGAGTAGATATTTGTATAATTTGTTAAGTTTATAAATTTTATAATTTTTATTACAATTACAAAACTATTTACAACGGAGATAAATCGGTAACCAGAAACAAATCGAAAATCTCTATCTATACATGTACCTACCACATAGAACATAAATGAGTAAAGAATTGTATTATGTAAAACCAGAAATTAATGAAATAAAGTTTTTAAAACACAAAATACAAGGGTGGAGGCACTGCACTGGGTTACGAATACTCGATCGGGTCCGGTCCGGTACTCTACTTGGACCAGTTACAGCTCGATTCTGAGATTAGAATGTCAGCAGTCCTACAGCTCATCAGCCAGTGTACGGCTCTCGACTGAGCAGAGGTAGTTCCAGACACGTGGGAGTTCCATTCTACAGCAGTGCAGCAATGCCGACCGAAAATGCAACAAAAGCCAGCACTTAAGGGCTCTCCAAATATTCACAGATGGTGTCTTATAATTACAGAAAGGCTGGGCCAAACTTTTGGCTAATAAATGACTAGTGTAACGACCCTACTACGTCTCCTTTTTGACCTTGCGGTCAGCAGTGGCCAGCACATCGAACTCCGGAAACAGGATGCCAATCTCCCGCAGGGCCGAGGCCTCGCTGTCCGATCCATGGCAGGCATTGCGTGTGTCGGAGAGGCCATAGAGCGCACGTATGCACTGCGGTTCGGTATAGACGGCCCTGAACACTTTGGTGGGTCCCATCAGGCGACGCCACTTCTGAATGGAGCCCTCCGACTGCAGTATGAGTGCATAGCAGGGGCCGCTGGCAGAGTTAGGGATGGTGGAGGATATAGTCCAGGGTATATGCCACATGGCAGGCGGGAGGACTGCACTGCCCCACTCACCTGTTCATGAAGCTGGTCAGGCGGTGGTAGAAGAACTTGCCCTGGTGCTCCGCATAGAAACGATCCGATAGGTCTTTCGTAATGTGGACCTCCTTCTGGTCGAGCACTCGAAAGTTCTGTTCGATCAGGGATTTGATCTGCTGCAGGGCGTATGTGTTGCGCAGTACATGCGGCTTGATCACGGCCAACGTTATTTCGGTCATATTGTTAACTTTCTTGATATTTTATAAAATTTGCCGGCTTTGATGTAATTTTGTTGTTGTTTGAATTCATATCGATATTTCTATTGATAATGTTTTAATTATTTTCTTTTAATTTAAGAAAATGTTTTGTGGTTATAAATATTGCACGTCATGTTTATTTTTGTTTCCTTTTTGTTATTTTAATTAATGTCAATTACTTTTAAGTCCATTCTGATGGCACACTTATATCGATATATCGCACTCGATATTTTTCGATATACATACGGGCACACTAAGACATCAGCTGGGTGCATTACACAAGCAGCCGCTGAATAAAAAAAACGTTTTGTTTTCGCACATTTATTTCAATTAAAACACCAGTATGCCTTTCATGAAGGGACGCGAGCCGATCCGGCGCACACTTAGGTACCTTAATGCAGGGAAATTGGTGCTCAAGGACAAGGTGCGGATCTTCAGCGTCAACTACAACACGTACGGCGATCATCATGCGGGCGCCAGGTGGGTTATCTGCGGCTAATACGAATGGTCCCAGAAACTGAATCTAATTGTTGCTCTTTTGCACTTCAGGGACTTTGTGTTTTGGAACATTCCACAGGTACAGTTCAAGAATCCCGAGGTGCAGGTGCTCACCATGAAGAACATGACCCCGTCGCCGTTTGTGCGCTGCTACTTTGATGATGGCCGCGATATGCTCATCGACATTGATAGTCGCAATAAAGACGAAATCATCGCCCATCTGGTCCAGGTGGTAGGCAAGACGCGGTAAGTGTGCGGCTGCATTCCATCGGTGCGGATTCCAGCAAGTCTGATTTCCTTTTCCTTTCAGGGAACAACTGGATGCGGAGGCCCGTCTGAAAGAGAGTAAGGACAATCCGGCCAATTTCGGCTACGGCTGCGACCGGCACTGCATCTGCGAGATTCCTGGACAGATGCCCTGCCCCGGCACCGTGCCACTGCCCGAACAGATGCGCGGAAAATTCAAGTTTGCTCCAAAGTAATTCGTTTCGTTTGATGCTGGGTGTGTCTTTATCTCTTAAATAAATTAATTGTAAAGTAAATGGTGTGTGTTGTCAGGCTGTCTGCTGCTGAGGTAGCGCCCTAAGTACTAAAATTTGATGTCCACTATGTTTTCCTCCCGGTGGCCCCAATTCAACGTCGCTTCGGACGCTGTTGTCGATGGTAGGGGGCCGAGGATTTTCCATAGCGCTGAGTATTGTCGCGATCCTTGTTGAACTGGTAGCGCTGGATGAAGGGAACGTTCGCGTTAAACCCCTCCCTGGGGTTGAGCTCGAGATTGTCGTCTGTGTGGCGTTCCAGATGTTTCAGTTTCGCCTCGATTGCGCGTATGGCCTCGGATTTGCTGATTTTCTCCTCGCGCTTGCCCGTCCCCAGAGCGGGAATCTCAATGCGTGGTTTGGGCTTTTGAAGATCATCCTGTAGTTAAGGGAGAGTACGATACGTATTAGACAGGATGAAGTATCTCCTTTCGGTGTATGCTCACGTATTTGATGTTCTTGGCAAGGCGAACGGCTATCGAGCGGCTGCCCACGCTTGTGCCATCCAGCTTCAGCAGGGCATTGGTGGCTCCCTCGTTCTATGGAAGGAAATTCAGTGAGTAAGATAAGGCGTGCTAAGAGTATGGCGGGGGAACCTACCTCGGCGAATGTAACAAAGGCATAGCCGCGGGACTGGCCAACCATGGGGCCGCCCTTGTGGAACAGCATGTCGAACTTTTCGATGGGACCGCATTTTTGCATTAGTTTGAGAAGTTGAAACCGATAATTGGCAAGGGGAGAGTGACTATTAGTTTGGTTTGGGGGTCAGCGTTTTGGCTGCAATCAACTTACTCGGTGATCCTTGAATCCAAATTTCCCACCCAGATGCGTCGCTGTTCCTCGCCAGCCCCCGCCGCTGCTGCTGTTGCTCCTTCACCAGCTCCAGCACTGCCGCCTCCGCCACTTGTGCAGGCCTGTAAATGCATATTTATATGACAAATACTACATGGATGCCACTTTTTCTAGGTTTACGTACAGCATTTGCCATTTTTCTTGCGAAAATCAACAAAAAAAAATAAACTAAATCCGTGAGATTTTGTGTGTATAGAGGTGGAGAACTATCGATGGCACTATCGACACTACCGATGTTAGGGCACTATCGCGCTACTAAGCTATCGATGGTTCAATGTTTCGATAGTGGGCGATAGTGGAAAGCACAGAATAACCGTGGAAGCGTCTTAGCCCACTAAAGCCCCCTCTATTTAAATAGTTCAACTACTTGAGGTAAATGGCGGAATATATTACTGATTGTAAATTCTTCTTGAGGATTCATGCCATCTCTACTATGAACTTAAAAAAACCACGATATTTTTCAGCTGAAGTGCGCTAAAATGATTAAATTTTCATTATTTTCAGTGGAAAATTGAAATACCCCCTTGGCTTATAATAGGTTAATCGTTCTCCGTCAAGGATTGGAAACCATATTCTCGATTTTGATATTCCGCTGAATATTACTGGCGAGATAGAACATTTAGCCATGTCCACATAATTATATCCGATTAATTAAACTATTCTCAACTTGACTGACTTACTTTAAATAATTGATTTCATTGCATTTTGCGTAAAACAATGTTTTAGCGAAATAGGTCAAAGCAAAAAAAACGAAATAGGATAGTCGTGCACATTGCTCAATTTAGAGATACTGTTGAAAAATTCTGGCTAACTAAAACCCTTTGTTTTGCCCACATAATTTAAGGACATTGATGAATAAATGTTCTACAAAATTGGTTAGTTCTTAGTCCTTGCTTTTATTGTATTTTGATTAAAACAAGTATTAAACAAAATATGTAGTTCCACAAAAAATCAAACCATTATATACCGATATAAGAGCTCGATAGCAACGATATGCTACTATCGAGAGGTAATCGATAGATGGCAGTGCCAACAGTATAATTTTTTCGCGGCAATAAAAATAAAAAAATACAATTATCTGTGCAACGGAGGAGAAAAACCATAATACAATATATCCTTCCAGTCAATCCCGCGGATCCAATCACCTCCTGCGGCTAGCTTCGTTAAAGAGACTTACAGTAGCAACTCATGGGTATGTGGCATTTGCCGCGTACGGCGCGCGTTTCAAGATTAAACCGATTAAAGCTCGTCCCACTTTCTGCAGAGTGCAAGCGATGCGGACCTCCGTCCTGCTGCTCGTGACGGTCGAAATGCCAGGACCAGGCAGAGAAGCTCGCCAAAAAGGAGACGCTCACTGAGCACCAAGATGACGCTCCAGAAGATCGACCATGTGGCCCAGCCAACTGGGATGTAAGGCGCGGCAAGTTCCTCGTGCAGCTCTGCAACATACAATGCTCCAGTTTTATAACGTTGTTTCACCTGCTTCCTGTCCTACAGGATCCTGTGCGACCTTTGACTTCTAACGACAGCCGGCATGCGTTTGATGGCCTCTTCCAGACCTTGGGCACCACCATTAAACTAGGCTATACACTTTCCGGACCTCGCACTTCCTTCCTTCTCAGATGCAGCAGAAGGTGGAGCCCATGAAGAAGCTCAACGAGGTGCTCAAGGCGCTTGCCCTTAATCGAGCACCAATTAAGCGAATGTAAGACATTGGCTCATTTCGTTATATATTCCTTACCATTGAAGTTTCCCATTTGGAGCTCGACAAAGTCGAGTTGGACGAAGAGCTGCTTGCAGTTGCGCAGCTACGAGGTGGCAAGACAGTGCGGCACCTTGATGCGCCCCTTGATGCGAATTGAATATGTTTTGGCTAGACTAGATGCTCCAGTAGCGTCAGTACTATATATTGGCAATAAAGCTTTGTTTTTACGTTATAATTGTAAAGAAGAGAAGGTGTTCCCCCTGATAAAACGTCTATTTTAAATAGAGAGAGAGCCAATGACTTACGCCCAGAGTAAGATCACGTACGTTTTCCTTGCTGCATTTGCTGTTCCTTTGCTTTCCCTATTGGTGATGACGCGGCGTTATCTGAACGCCAGAGCTGAAGCCCCTGCGATCTAATCCAGGAAGTTCCTTTGCGGCATGTACTGTGCGGTTAGTAGCAGGACCAATAGCATTCTATGAAAAAGGTAAAGATTTATTGTCAGTGAAAGAATATTACTAATTAGTATTTAGATATACAGGAACTGCTTGCGAAGACTTGGGAAATTCTGGTCTGAAGTGCCTAATAATTATACATATATGTATGCGTGATTGCGAGGACTATGTCGTGCGAATTCGAATCTGAGGCTTATCCAGCAGAGCTACAAGAGAAATACAGTAAAGAACATATTAAATAACACTTTAATAACAGCTTTTTCTGTTGAAAAGTTGGCAGCACTGCCTGCGACCATTCCGAACAAACAGAAAGAAACGTTCAAATTCAAACTTCAGATGTTCACTTTTCCAAATTGCCTTTACCATTCGGCATCCCCAAAAAAAAAAAGTGCCAACTCCTTAATTATTTCCTGAAGAAACGTTTGAAGTTTAACGGAAATCAGAGATCATTCCTTTTCCCATCGATCTGGCAACGCTTTTCGGATATATCGACGATCGCTATTGACCAGCGCTGCCATTTAATCAGGACACACCTTTTCCTATCGATCTGGCAGCGCTTTGCGGATCTATTGATGATATTTAAAATTTGAATTTAAATTTGAAAATCAGCCCCTTTGAGTTTGATACTCTCTCACACTAAATTGACATAATTTCAGCGCCATCAAGAGATTTGTGGCACGATTACGTATGCGGCAAATGACCAACATGTTGCGCCCAGCCAGCACAGCCATAAAAAATGCGAGCAGCTGCAGCAACAGATCCAAATTGCAGTTGGAATAAGCCAAGAAAAAAGGCCAAGGCAAGAAAAGGGCTAGAGGTAGGGATAAAATATGCATGCAAGCAAGCAATTGCAGCGGCATGGTCATATAGAAATTGCAGCATGCATACTAAAACGCACTTTACCGACTACCGACCCGCTACGCCCCGACCTATCCCTGCCAGCGACAGAGATGAAGAGCGAGCTCCCTTCATATGTATGCATGTGAGCGCAAAGCGTCTGAAACCCCGGACAAGCCTCGATATGCAGAGCCAGAACCCGGCGTCTCGTCTCGTCTCGTCTCGGTGAATTATTTAAACAAATGACGGAGAAGTAGCAGCAGGAGGAGCAGCCCCTTTAACGTTGCAGGGACAAACATCAAGAGCCCGTTTTTCATCATCACTCTCTCACTCAAAAACGGACAATACACCAGCAGCACCGGCTTCAGCTCCATTCTCCTTCTGCTTCTCCGTCTCCGTCTCCTCCTTCTCTGGCTACTTGTTAGTGGTGCTTCTGCTCAACGATGGTAATTTGTGTTGGTCGTGCGACAAGCGGACTGCAGACCAGGAAGGAGACTGGCAACTGGTAGTCGGGGCCAAGGGCTAACATGTGCAGCGACAAGCGGAAGGCAAACTTCACATATCGTTGACGACACTGGCAGACGGCACAGTGGCACAGCAGCACAGTGGCTTGCGTCCCACAACAAAACTACGGATTGGCCGAGCATTTACATTTCGGCTTGGAAACCCAACCACTGTCCCACGATGAAGACGTCGGAAGTTGTCCATGGGGTCAGGCAGAGAAAGAGTCCGGGATAGACGTTAGAGCAGTAGGGCATGGGGGGAAGGGGGGAAGGGGGGAAGGAGGCGGATCTGGGTCCTGGGAACTTATCGCATACAATGCGCATTAGCAGTGTCTACATGCGTCCGCATCAAGTTATTTCCATCCTGTCCAGCGGACAGGACGACGGCTGTTGCATATTTCAAGGGGGTTTTGTGTGAAATTCTCTACCTCTCTCTCTCTCTCTCTCTCTCTCTGGAAACATTTTGCCCGCTGCCTAGGGGAAATGGAATTGAAGTGCTTTGGTGTGGCTTGGGAATTACAAGGAATTTAGTTTATATTCGTATTCTTTCTGTTCTTTGGTCCGATATGTTTATAGCCCAACGATTAACCGGTTACACCTATTTTAGCCGCTGAACTTTTCTACGCTTGGCTCCCGTACAGCTCATACAGTTGGTGATTCTTTAGGGAGCGAAAGGGTCCATAAATACTCGGAAGAACTTTTCTCTCGAAAACGCCAATTGCCGCCTCTTCCGTTGCTGGCTTAGACGCCGCGCCGTCTAACTCCTTGATTTTCGGATTCGAGGCTTATGTTTTTTTTTTGTTTGGTTGCGACATTGCGAAAGATTGCTTAAGACGGCTAGACTCGCGTAGACAATGTGCCCGATACAGAGAAAATGTATTCCAAATATTCCCTCGTTTCGTTTTTGTTAAATCACACTTTTAGGGCCACAATCAAAGGCACAAATAGCGCCACCAAACGATGCCATAACGATGTTTTTCGATATTTTATTACCAGGCGAACATAAAAAGCAGAAAGCGACCTGCACAGTTAACAGCAGGGGTAAGCATTAACAGCACACTGTTGGTGCTAACAGGCCGCTGGTAGAGCAGCCTCAATGTTAACATAACAGTTCATGTTAGAGCTGTTCGCCGGTACTTGCAAAGGCATATATGAATCGATCGATTTTCGGACTTTAACAACTAGTTTTTGTACCTTCTTTTTTAGCAAATGACAGCCTCCAGTCTTGTGTGTAAATTATGTTTATTGAACCTAATTTGGTATTTTTTAAGCTCTCATCTCAAACCTTTTTGGAAAGTCTATAAACTGAATAAAATGTTTCTCGTGTTCCACATTATCCTCATCATTACGTGTATTACAACTTCATATATTCCAAGTGAAGGTACTCGATACTAGAATCTTATGCAGTACTGGTCGCTCTGTAGAAAAGGAAAGAACGATTGCTGGCCCTTTCCTTTCGGATTCGCAGTTGTTCAACGTAAGACTCGTTTTTAATTGATTCCACTGGATGTTCAGTTGTTTAGGGAATTGCAATTCAATTCTAATACCAATTCATATAGAATTTCTGATTTCTTGGCAAAAATTGCAAGTGGTGCCAACAGGTGATTACATTCTATGGGATTCTTTGCAAGATTCTACATGGATACCTCAACCTGGAACTATCTTTGTATCTTTAAGGACTTCCCAATTATGGAACTCCTCAGATTTATCAGAGAATTTGTACTTGGGGATATCCCTGCAAAAGGAACTTCCATTGAGGGCAGGGTTCCCAGCTCTCGTTTAAGTCGCATCTCCATGCTCCAAGCTCCATATGTCTCCACTTATCCCAGCGCCACCTTGTCCGGCTCCTGCCGCTCCTCCCACTTGCAACCACTTTGCCTGGTGTGCACCGCGCCGGCGGCAAATTGCAAAATGGACACAATTTTTGCTGGCTCTTTTTGGTACAGCGTTTCCTTTTTCTTTTCCTTTTTTTTCTAGTTCATAAATATAACTGCTATTATAAATGCACACACACACACACACACACACACACATGATGGTATATGTAGGGGAGCGAGTATATATACTATATAGTTTAGATATGCTGATATGCAGGGAAGGAATGCGGGGCGAAGTAGGGTCAGGTCGAGTGGGAGAGCAACACGCATGCAAAACTTTGTATGGGGGAAGGGGACGGGGACGGGGACGGGAAAGGAAAGGAAAAACCAGTTCAAGTGCTCGGAAAAGTAAAGTCGTCGTCTGCTGACTTAAGTTGTTATAAAAATGCAAATTTTTTACAGCTTTTGCCGTTTCCTAGAGCAAAAGCAGGCAGCGGCAAAAGCAGCACCAGCACCAGCACCAGCACGAAAGAGCAGCTAGAGGTCTCGGGATACGAGTATATGTATGTGCATGTGGGGATGGATATATAGAACGATAACTATTCCAAATGCTTGTAATGATTTTGTCATGAGTTGTGTTGTAGGCCATGTACAAACCATTGAGTCCAGAGAGAAACCTCAAGCTGAAGGAGGAATACAAGAGCAGAAGGAGCACACCCACCGAAATGATGGACGGGACATGCCATGTACCCACTGAATCCTGAATCCTGAGTCCTGAATCTGATTCTGATTCTGACAACCCTGTCGTGGTCCGAAAATGGCAAAGTTCTTGGCAACCACACAATTATGGTCACGTCTTGGAGCCCAAGGTCTGCTTCTGGCATCAACCACTTGCTATTCACGATTACATGAATACACTCATGGATGCGTACGTATTATAATTCTCCTTCTGGGTGACCACATAACAAATGCACCTACTGTGCGGCTACTTAATGCATTCCCGGCTATGACGTATGTGCCAGGCACTAATTAGCAGTAAGATATGAAGAGAACGGACGCTGCAGAATATCTATTTTCCCATTAAAATGAATTGCGGTTGAGCATATTCCTTTGAAGTGGTTATGCTGACGATTCAATCTTTTTACATGTCGTAGTACAGGTCTTTTGAGATTGTGTCCAAAGCAAATGATAACGACCGTCGGGCAGCAGCAGCTCGACAGCAACAGATTAACAGTGCTGTTACTGTTACAGCCTGTTACTGCGACCAGTTACAGCGCACGCACTGTTACCGTACAGGGATCTGTAAGGTCTGAAGGAACCACAGCTTCCACATCACCACAGTGCTCGAACTTTAAAAATGATTGACAAATATTGAGTGTGCCTTGAGAGAGTATCCGGCAGCGAATGTTTGGCCTCGATCGCTGAGGTTTGGCTCTTCTCCTACTCTCTCTATCCCTGTCTCTCTTAAGATAAAGATGGTACAGGGATGCGGGTGGCAGGGTCCTGCGTGCGTGTGTGTGTGTGTCCTTGCCCGTCCTGATGTACGACAGAATTATGCGATAAATGTGCATTTTTGTGAGTTATTCAAATTATGTATGCGCCTCGGTGTGTATCCCCAAAGTCTGCCCTATCTCTCTACCCTTCTCTCCCTCTCTGCCTCTCTTCCTCTTTGTGGCTCTATCTCCATCTCTCTTGTCCCCCTGCTTCCTGTAGCTGTGCTGTGTCTTCCTCTGACCTAACTCTAGTGTACGG